GTGACTTACCAACTATACGTATATATGTATATATATGTATATATATATATATATATATATATGGCTTATGTCCCTGAAAGAATTTTTTTTGAGAATTGAAAAGAACATGAATTTCTAATGTCAAGAGTCATAAATAAAATCTTTATAAGGGGCACTGGTGGAGGGATGGGTATTTGATCATTGTATAATCGAAACCCAAGCACAAAAATTTGTAAATCTACAACTGTACCTCATGGTGTTTCACTAATAAAAATCTAAAAAAAAAAAGAATACAGGCAGATTCATTTGTTTACACATTGTCCGTGCCTTGTGATGCAACGGCATAAAGTGGAGAATAGTGGCAAGAATGGTCTGTCATCCAAGATGCCTATGACATACTATGGGTTTTTCCAGAAAAAGTTGGCCAACACTTGTTTCTAGCATCTACACATTCAGGCCTTAGTATAAGCTTCTGCATTTTTTCTCCCCTCTACAAAATGCAGAAGGGAAAGAATAAAAGAACTTTTCTCCCTAGAAATAACAGAGGCAGAATTCTGAAGAAACTGGACTTAAAACAGGCTCTGGTGTTTAGAGACCCAGCATGGAGGCCACCCCTGCCCCCATCTTTTTGAATACATTAGAGTTATCTCTAGATAGTCAAGCCAGGTCTCACCACCCAAGGCCCATCTTGTCCTCCCGTTATTCATCTTGACTGTGTTATGGGTCCAGTTTCACAACATTCTGAGTTCATCCAGGCTTCCTGAATCATTTATGTGGATTTTCATTTCCCCTCCAACTCTTGCACACTTCTCTACTGTGAATTTTTTTTTCTTTAACATAAAGCATGAAGTTCTAAAAGGCCTACACAGTAAAATAAAATCCATACTCTTCATTTTTTTTTAGCTTAAGAAAACCAGCATTTTTACAAATCGCCTCTTTCTTGAGAAAATGAACTTAATTTTGTAGGTCGTAGAACTAAGATCCTTTCATGGCTAGAGATCTCAAAGCACCTTCTGGTGGAAAAGCATAACAAGGCAAAGCGCATCTATTTACTTCTAAATACTGTTTATTTCTTAGAGGAAATACTATTTAATAGAAAAGATGTGTCTAGCAACAACTAAAGTCCAAGGCTATTTCTGGTTCTGCCAATGACTCACTTTGACTTTGGGCAAATCATCTCACCACTGTTGCTCTTTATCTGCAAAAACTGGACTTCATGCCTATGGGAGTTGCATGGCTAATCAATGCCTGAAAAATGCGTAGTGGCAGATGCTACAAAAGTGCTGAGCTTTAAAAACAAAACCACCCCCACCCCCCATTTGTATTCAGTTGAGGTTGGGGTTTATTGTTATTTAACATTCGAAGGCCAACACTGTGTTAAGTCCAGCGTGCTGCACAGAACAGATAATATCACCGTCCAGCAGGGATTTAAAAAAAAAAAAATCTAGGCTCTTGGACTTTTTGTTTTTCTTTATTATGGTTGGGGGTTATTTCACAATCCAGGAGTGGATCCATACAAAAACATTAAGCTCTGAGTTGAAAACTATGGAATTAAAAATCTAAACAAGCACCTCTTCAAAAAAGAAAAAAAAAAAAGAGGCCCTTCCCCGCCCCGCCAAGAAATCTCTCAAAACAAGAATTCCTCTGATGTTTTTTTTCCTCCCGCAGTTCTCCATGTTACAGTCCTTGGAGGTAGAATAGGCATAAAATACTTTCACTAATAAAATATGACAAACCGCCGGATTATACGTGGCCGATTCCCAGTGATTGCCCTGCTACACAAAGCAGAAAAGTAAATGCCATCATCCCCCTTAGAACAAAAGAATTTAGGAATAAAAAACATGGAGAGGGGGGAGAGAGCAGCAATAAATAAAGGTGAGTGAAGGACCCCGACCCCCCCCCGCCCCTCCCCGAAGCAAGTGTGGGACTAAGTACGGCTAATAAAGTGGTTCAAGGGTAGTTATTTGGAAAGGGGGCGGGGTGGCGAGGGGAGGGAGCGGGAGCGGCGGCCGGGGATTGCATGTTGCATTCACTTGAGCTTGCATCTTTCTCCTGTTGCCTGGACCACGCTCCCCCATTGCAGTGCTTCCCGTTGCTTCTCTTCGCTCGTGCCCTAGCGGCTCTCTCTCCACCCCCCCACCCCCTTTAAAAAACTGCTGTTGCACTGAAGGGAGTTGGGGCCGCTCCGGAGCCCCTTTGCAGCTCCAGCCGGCGGGAGGAGGGGGGGGGGAAGGGGTGGAGGTGGGGGGGGAGTTGGGCTCGGGCCGCGGAGTTGGGGGTTGGTGTTGGGGGGTGGGGGCCGCAGCGGGCTCCGGCCTCGCCTCGGCTGCAGCTTCCGAGGATGCCGAGCTGCAGCGCTGCACGGGCCCAACATTGCGGCGGCCCCGGAGTTTGGCCGCCGCCGCCGCTCCGTGCTCGGCCCCATCACCGCCGCCGCCGCCGCCGCTGCACTGGAGTTTGGCTGCTGCTGCCCTACTTCACTCTAGTTTAGTTTCACTCACTTTACATCCGGGTTTTTTCCCTAGGCAATGGGGGCCGCAGCACACCCCGTTCCTTAGGCAAAGTGAAATAAATTCGCCGCACCGACACGTCAAGTAGTCCGCCCGCCCGAGCGCCGCCGCGGGCCCCCGCCGCCGCCCCCCCACCCCCCGCGCCGCCACCCCGCCGCCCCCGGTGAGGGGGGGGAGGCCCGGGGGGTCCCGGCCGCGGCCGGCCAAGGCGCGGGGGGGGGGGCCCGGGCCGGCCGCCCCGCGCAACTCCGCTCGGCGGCCCCCTCCGAGCCCCTCTCGCGCCCGGCGCCTCCTTCCCTCCCTCCGCCCCACTCGTCCCCGCTTCCCCAGCCCCAGTCCCTCTCGCCCGGCTCTCGGGAGCGGCGGGGGCGCGCACGGCGGCGGCGGCGGCGGGCCGGCGGGGCCGCGCGGCGGGCTCCCGCGCGGGCGAGTGTGTCTGGGCCTGGGCGGAGGGATCCCCGGGCTGAGGCGGCGGAGGTGCTGCGGCCCGGGGCCGGGTGGTGAATGGGCTGGTGGTGCTCGCGGCTGCTGCTGAGAGGAGGAGGAGGAGGAGGATGAAGAGTTGGGCTTGTTTGTCTCCCACAGTTTCTCTCCTGCTGCTCTGATTCCCCCCCACCCCCATTCCGGCCCGGGGCCTGTGTGTGTCTCTCCTGGAGGAGGAGGAGGATCCAGTTCCTCCCCCCCCCTCCTCCCCACCCCCCCTTGCCTGGGGAAGAGGAGGAAAGAAACAGCCCAGAGAGGGAGAGAGAGAGAGTGAGTGAGTGAGAGAGAGAGAGAGAGGAGAGGAGGAGGAGGAGGAGGGAGAAGGGAACAACCTACCATCTTAACACACTAATATCTAAAAAGTGCGAGAGGCCCAGAGCAGCAGCAGAAGCAGCAGCCAGCAGCAGCTCCAGCTTCTTCCCTCCCTCCCCATGAAGAAGAGTTCCCTCCTCCTCCTCCTCCTGCTTCTCCTGCTCAGAGTTCCTGCCTCCAGCTGCCAGGGGGGACAGCCAGCCAGCAGCAGGAGGGTGCAGTATCCCAGCTTTTCCATTCTCTCTTCTCCTCACTCTTCTCTCGCTCTCTCTTGCTCTCTCTCCCTCTCTCGCTCGCTCGCTCTCTTTTTTTTTTTCTGGAGTAGCTCGATTTCCCCTCCCTCCCCCTTCCCTCTCTCCCCCTCGCCCTCTTCTCCCTCTGTCTTGTCTCTGCTGTTTGTCTCTGGGAGGCTCAGGGGCTGCTTGCTTGGAGTTTGTTGGGGGGGGGGGAGGGCGGGGGAGGGGAGGGGTGTGTGGGAGGGAAGAGGGAACGGGGGGGACGTTCTTGTCAGGACCCCTCAGTCAACTTGAGATTTGAGCAATAACTTCCCCTTCGGGGCGCCCCCCTGCGTGCCCTTCCGAGTCCTCCCCCCCCCCGAAAAAAAAGACAATGGAAAAACCTCGTCCCCCCCCACCCCCCTTCTTTCCTCCCCTCTGCCCTCCACCCCTCCCCAGTAGAAATTGGAAGTAAGTTTAGGAGCCGCCTCGGGAGCCTGGACGCTGAGTGCGGGGCCGGAGCGGGTGACAGAGGCGGCGCGCCGGGGGTGGCGGGGAGGGGGCGTCACATTGTCCCGGCGGGGGGCCGGGGAGGGGGCCGCGGGCGGGGGCGGGGGGCGCGGAGGCTCGACCGCCCCCCCCCCGGGGCTCTCCCTCGGCCCGGGGAGGGTCGCTGGGGCTCTTGCTCGCACCCCCACCCCCCCCAGGATGCTGTCGGGGGGAAGTTTTTATTATGGGTATTTCATTTCTTTTTTTCTTTCTTCTTTTCTTTTCTTTTTTTTTTTTTTGGAAAACCATCTTGTTTGGTGACTGAGGGATCTGGTAAAAAAAAAAAAAGCTGCGGCTGCTGACGCTGCCGGGCCCGAGTGTGTGTGTGTGTGTGTGTGTGTGTGTGTGTGTATGTGAGAGAGAGAGGGAGAGAGGGAGTGTGAGTGTGAGTGTGAGTGTGTGTGTGTGTGAGTGTGTGTGTGTGTGTGTGTGTGTGTGTTGGTGCATTTGTCTTGGGTGGCCGGAGCAGCATTGGGGAAATTCCGCTTATTCTTCTTCTGCAACTTGTTATTCCGGAGAGTCTGCCCGCACCCCTCCTCACCCCGGGGCCGGCCCTCCCGCACTCGCCCCCACCGGCGGCGGCCGCGGGGCGCCCCCGGGACCCCGTGCGGGCCGGGCCGGGCCGGCGGCTCGGAGAGGGGCCGCGGCCGCCCCTCCCCCGCCCGCGCCCCCGCCGGGGGGAGGGGCGCGCGGAGTGGGACTCTTTCCGTTTGGTCCAGCCCCGCCGTGCTGCACGCAGTTCCCCACACTTCTCGTCATCCTCTCTTTGGTCTCTTTATTCTGCTGAGCGGTGCTGTTAGGATTTCTTTTTTTTTTTTTTTTTTCCTTCCCTGACCACGTTCGCGATGGTGGGTAGCAGCAAGGTGGCCCCGGCCGGGGGAGGGGTGGGGACCGAGATTGGGCACGGGGGTGGGGGTGGGGGGGAGAATGTCTTCCTTTCAACTTTGTCTGTGGCTTGCACCCCCACCCCCACCCCCCAACACCCCGGAGAAGGCCACACGCCGGTTGTGGGGTGCAGATGTGCTGAGAGTGATTTCTAAGTAGTTGAGTTGTTGAGATGGTGATGGTTAAGGGCAGGTTTTGTTTTCATTGGTGAATCTGGTGTCATCATATTCCGGTCATATGTTGAAATATTCTTTGTTTAGGTCTTGAAGTAGAGGATCTTACTCTGCACGTTCACATTGTGTGTGTGTGTGTGTGTGTGTGTGTGTGTGTGTTTTAAAGGATGCCTCTGCAAGTAATGGCTTTCTAGAATTTCTAGCGTGAGTGAAGGTCCGGGGCGTGTGTGGGCCTCAGCACTGGCCTTGACAGTGAACTTTGAGGCTGTGTTTTTGGATTTCAGAGATTTGCCCCGGAGCCGGGGTGCGAGCTGTGCATTTTTGATAAGAGTAGGTGTCCGGAATGTAGATGCCTGAGCCTGTACATTAGAGGGGGGAAAGAACATTTACATATTAGTAATTGATAGCTGAATATTAGAATCAGATTAATTTAGGCTGATGAAAGTTTGTGTGTGTGTGAGTGTGTGTGTTTTAAGCTGTTGTGCACTCTAGGAAGAAAGCCTTTCAAAGACACACTATTGGGATTTTTCAGGGTGGGGAGCTGGTTGATCTCCATTTAGAAAGGGTACTCATTGGTATCTGTAGCTTCATGGAGGAACTGCTAAGGGGACTGAAATTGGGGCTAAGACATCAAATAGTGTACTTTTTAGTATTTATGTTATTTATTTACATTTGATATTCTCTCACTTGGGAACAGCAGTGAAATAAATAGGTAAGCTTTTCTTTTGGTTCATGAAGACTAGCTTCCCTCCTCCCCCCTTTTTAAGTTTTACGATTTACTTGGTTTCACAGCATTGTAGAGAACTTAACTATATTTTTGCTGGAAAATATAGTTTTTAGTAAATACAGTAAAATAGTATTTGTTTTTATTTTGCTGTTTCTTCCATTCTTTCTTTCTGTCTTCACTTGTATGTGGATCTTCATTGTAGGCATAAAAGTATCTTATTAGGGATGGTTTGAAATGTGTGCTAAAAAAAAATCTCTGGACATATCTTCTGATAGTAAAGAGGAAATTTTTGTGTGCAGCTACCCTCATGTTTATAAAATTTTTTCTTTGCATAAAGTTTTGGTAGATGTATAACTGTCCCCAAGTGAAGAGCAAAATATAACAACAGAAAATTCCTAAAGCAAACTTCTGGGGAAGTGTTACAAATATTTCTGGTGGCTTTCTTTATGCCATTTTTTTGCTTTTATTAACTTAATTGTCTTTACTGTATGACTGACGTTGCTTGGGTGACCATTATAAAGTCTGCTTGAGTGCTTTAGAAGGCGTTTAAACCTAGTTCTCAGATTCATTTAGCAAGCTTTAAGTATGTTGTTCTATGGATCCAGATATGTATTTATGGAAGTGGAATAGTCAAAGATTTATAAAAGACTCCTACCTGTGCCATATATATTTTTAAGAGGTGTAAGTGTTGGACGGGGCCCTGTTTCTTTTAGCTTTGAAGGGCCCATCCTTTTCCTATTCAATCATCTGGAAGGAGCTGCCTCAGATACTCTTCTTCTGCTTACATGAAGAGCTCTAAATGCTATCCAGCAGGAGGTGCTACAACAAGATAAAGCAAATCTGAATTTTGAGGGTCTTGCTACTTCTTACATCTCTACTTAGCTTCAGCTAAGCAACAGGATTAACACCCTAAAGTTGGAGAAAGAGTTTGAGTAAGTCTGTTTTAAAATTCTATTAATCACATTTGTTGTTGGAAATCTTTGCTTATCAGGTAGATTTGTTATAGGCATAGCTTAAGGCTGCTGTACTTCAAAGAATAGAGAGATGTTAGAATTATTTTTATTTTGCAGGAAAGCCTTGTGTTCATGTCTGGGGTATTGAACACTTTAAAAAAGTTGTCTCTGTCTCAAAAGTAATTGTTTTTTAGTTGGGACTTTAGATTTTGTGATCACCCCTGTACTGTTTCTACATGTATTATATAGAAAGTTTGAAATTTTAGCCAAGGGGATACTATATGGAAAAAAAATTTAGATTTTCTGTGGAGTGTTTTCCGTCCATTTTCAGACAGTGATTCTAATGGATAAATTCATAGGCATTTAGTTTGAATATGGCTGATATATTTGAATTGGCCTACAAAGATTCAGATTCTTGAACTATAAGTAAATTTTTACCTGTGGGTATGGGTTGTGGCTGATGTGTCCATTAGTAACACTTAACAATAACTGCATAAAGAGGAAAGTTTTCATAACATTTACAGTGCATGATCCTTTAAAACATAGTGTTAGTTGAATTGATTTATCACTGGAAATATACTACTCCGGTGCTCTATAAAGTTTTTACATCGGAGTTTTTAAAACTTAGGAATTGTGTAGAAAATTTGATGAACCTGTTTTGAATTTTGTTTTCTAGGCATATATTGTAATTTTTTTTTCTCAGTAAGATCAAATCCAGTAGTGCATATTCTTTGTAAATTTTCAGAAGCCATGCAGATGTTAAGTTACTGAGATAGGTAGCTAATTAATACATGGACAGAAGCTTCTGTCTTTAAAACGTTAATTTTTCTCTGTATCATTTGGCAAATGACTGTATTAAAAGTGCACCCAAAACACTTTATGAATTTTTCAAAAAAAGATATGGCTGTGGTCTCCAAAAAGCTCTTTGTTAGAGTTTGAAGCTTTGTTTAAAAAATGCTGTCTAGGCAGTTTTTCATAATTCAAAAAAAAAGATTATTTTTTTCTTTCAAAGATGGGTGTGTAATATGTACTTGCTATTAAAGTTTTTCTTTATCTCTATTGATGTGATAAAGGTTGAATTTTGTGAATATTTAGGTTCTCAGATTCTTCTATAGATTCTTATTAATACAGAGAGTAACAGATGTCACAGTTAAGGTTTTGATTGTTTTGACTGATTCAGCTAACTTCTGAAAAATTCTTACTGACTAAAGCTTTCAACCTTGTTTCACAGTAAAAAAAAAAAGATATCAGTAAGCATTTATAGTAGGTACATATGTATATCTTTTTTGTTTTCTGTTTTAGAAATATGCGTGAGGAAATGACTACTCAACTCTAGAGGAGTGCACTAAAATATTTTTTTGTGTAGAAATAACGCCAAAGTTTCAACTTTAAGTTCTAAGTTGTACTTAGAGAGTACAGAGTAGGCTCACAATTATGGAACACAAAAGAAAAATAAAATAATTGGGAAGCTTATGTTTATCGGTCTATCAAAAGGTATAGTATCTTAAATTTTGGAAGTGGCTGCTCTTTATGAAATAGCATAGCCCCAATTAGAAATTAAATATAGAAACATGCTACTGTGAAGAGTGAGAAAAACATTTTAACTGTTTAGATAAAAATGAAACCTCTGAGTATAATTTACTCTTGTCATCTTTTTCTTTCTTCCTTTCTTTTTTTTTGAGGAAGTAAGATTGTGTCAATGCACTCTAAAAGTTTGCATCCTTACTATTTTATTGCTGAAAGCTTTTGTATTTAATTACTATTCAAAGGGAGAAGAGGAAGGGATTAAAGTTTTAGGTCTCTAACCTTTGACAGAGTTCCTTTATTATCTATATTCAGAGCAGATTTCTTGAAACATGTTTGACTCTTTATATTAAACTTTGTGCTGGGAAATATTAATGATTTATGTTCACTTTTCAGGAACTTTGTACATAGGCTCTTTTGTAGACTCAAGTATTCTTTAGGAGCTTAGCAATGTGTTTTCATTACTTAACTTTACTAGCTATGTAATTTTACTGCTCTCAGAGATTTTTTCTTTTTTTAGTAATGTTAATTCTACATTAAATATATTGTAGATAATCTCTTAATCTCTTAAGTAGCATGTTTTTTATCTTCATATACCTGTATGTATATATGGCCACATTGTTTTGTGACTCTAATTCTTATTGGCATATTACATCTTTGGACAGTTACCTTGTGTGAGAATGTTGAAATAGACCATAAAAATAACTTTCATATTACTTGTCTGCTAGGTCATTCTAAAACTGTGGTGGTGGATGCTTCCTTTTTAGATATAAAATGTTATGTTCAGTCATCTTTTGGTGCAATGTTCTTTTACTAGATGCTTGTTTGACAGTTTGGATTCTTCTTTGCTTCTGTCCAATATAATGCAAGGTCCTCCTTAAAAAAAAAATAGTGAGCAGGTCTCCGTTGAAAGTACCTGTGATTTCTTATATTTTGGAATCATCTGTGGAAATGTTTTTCTACTTAAAAGGTAGATAAAAAAGTGAAACTGGTAGTTGGAGACAGAAAGGGGATGGGGCCTAACAGGTTGATGATCTAGGCTTTATTTTGACTTTGTTTGTGGGCCTAGGGGAGAAAAAAATAACTTAAACACAGAAGCCAAAAAAGATGGGTTTTGTTTTATTGTTTTGGCTGCATTGAGAATACAAACTGTCAGTGCTTGAGGAGAAGGAGCAGCAGAAAGGAATTGATTTTTTTTTTCCTGCTGCAGATCCAAGTATTGTTAACCATGTGCATCTCTAAGCAGTATACTTACAAATCAAACAGTAGTTGATTCTTTCTCTCAATTAATAGTCAGAGCCTAAACTGTTTTTTCAGATTTTAAATAAGTACCCCAAACTTTAGAGTAATGACAATAATTTTCTGATGAAAGTGGGTGATAGTAACCATGGCAACTGCTATCTCTGGCCTTATGGACAGTATGTTGTATTGATGAAGCTTCAGATCCTGTAGTAGCCTGTCACTTTTATGGTGAAATGTAGTAGCATGTGTTGCAGGTGATTTTTAGCTGGATTGTGTTGAATTTGTGTGCCAGCTTATCTTTCCTTGTTAGGAATTTCTTGGACTGTATTCCACAGCATGTTTGTGAAGGTGCTGTTGCCTGAAAATAACCCACCACCTGTGTTAGGCCTCCTGATACATATTGCACTTAGTTCTTTCTCAGCCTCTTTCTTCATTCTTGCAGAAAATGGGGTGTAATGTAGAAACTGTGTGTACATAATTGCAGCTCAAACTTACCCACTTTGTGTTGAGCATGTTATTGAAAGTTTCATATTTTGTATGTATTTGTTCTAGATGAGATTAGTGGATGAACTGAATGAGTCTTTAGTTGGAGTTTTTTTTTTTTCTTCCCTATTTACTCTTTCCAGAAACCTATGTATGTGTGAAATGGAGGGCTTAATATTGAGTAAACAGTTGACAAAGGAAGAACATAATCATTGCTGGTTTTTAGGTGTGATGATGTTATGTGTATGATGGCTATAAGAATATATTTTCTAGTCAGAAGTGTTCAAGAATGGGAAAAAGAAAAGTCTGCAAAATCTATTTGCAAATTACTTGAAAGACTTAAAACCTTTTAAAATAATTAAAACTTTTTTAGGGGGATAGAGAACTTTGAAACTGATACAATCTGCTTAATTTTTTTTTTAATGTTTAGAAATGTATCTTAAAATTGTGTCAAATCCTTTGCTTCTTAAGCATTTCTTTTATATACTTCTTCTGAGGATTTTCTAATGTGAAATGCTGATAAAAATGTTAATTGATATTTTTTCCAATGTGTTCTAAAGAAACTGCTACAGCAGAGAACAAACAAATTAGATATGATTTGAGTAGGGCTTGCTAATAAAATCGAGTTAAATTGTGCTAGATAATTCAGACCTTGCAACTTACTGTGATAGGGTGAAGTGGTTTACTTACTACAAGTCCCAAGATGCACTGCAGTTTTTGCTTAACTTCAGATTAGAGCATAGCATGCTGGGACCTGTAGTTGATTTAAACAGAACAGGGAACCCTTCCCTCTTGTCTACTCCATTTTATACACAGCATTCTAAGCCTTTGAGAACTTTAAGTTTGATTATTATTATGCTTTGATATACCAGATTTAGTCTTCAAAAACAATCTAGTTGTTTAGATTATATTTGATTAGTTAATTTTTTTAAAAAATCAGTTACAAACTGTATATAGAAAATACAGTATATATATATATGTATCTGTCTGTGTATTTATATTCAAAACTTAGCAGTTGCAACTTTTTTGTCTCTGATGAACTTGGTCTCTTTATACTTCTAGTATTATTGATTGATTGTTAGTGTGGGCATTAGAAACTTATTGTGGGGCCTGATATATGTATATTCTCTTTGAAAGAGGACAGTTTCTTAGTAAAGTTTGATGAAAGTGTTGTGAGTATGTGTGTGTGTGTGTGTGCGTGTGCTTGTGCGCACAAAGGTATGCATGTGAGCCAGTACTTAAATTCAGAGTTCTTGTATAATAATTGTCAACATCTTGAACATCAATATTATTTAAGCCCCACCCCCTTTATTCCCTATTTCCTTTCTTTTTGTTGCCTTGATTGGGTGTCACACATTTGTTTCATCTTAGTATTCTTTAAATGGAAGACAGATTCCTGAATTATGTTTTTAGGGCTATTTTAATCTTCAGAGATGGAGTGAAAGGTTTAGGTTTAGAAAAGGTATTTATATTTTTAAACTTCAACTTTCTGTTATTTGAGAGTTTTACTACTTTGTTTTTAATTATTTAGAATTAACTGTAGGAGAAGAGTTCTCTAGTTATTAAAAACTTTATCATGCCTTACTTCCCTTTTCGCTCTCTTTTTTACATTGTTTTATCTGGGAGGAGGCCTTCATGGCAGTACTAGGAGGTTCACTCCGGGCAGTACTCTGGTCAGTAGTTCTGGGGGCCACCATCCATACCTGGTAGGGTGCTCAGGGGCTATGAAG